GAAATTCCCGGAAGGGGACGAAAACCTGGAAATTGCAGCAGATGCGTCGGACTATGCCGTAGGTGCGGTTCTCATGCAGAATGGCCATCCTTTGGCATTTTTTAGTAAAACTTTAAATTCTACGCAAAGGAATTATACAGCTACAGAGAGAGAAACATTAGCCGTATTAATGACTGTACACAAATTTCGAGTTTATTTCGGCAAAGCGCCAGTAACAGTCTTTTCGGATCATGCGGCTGTTGGTAGACTTTACTCGGGGAAAAACCTAACGCCCACGTTAATAAGATGGGCTTTAAAACTTCAAGAATATAATATCTAATAATTAAATATAAACCAGGGAAAGGAAAACAATGTAGCTGACGCACTATCTCGAATAAAACTGGACGATGAAGGGAATGAACTCAAATGCGCTGTGTTGACTTCTAAAAATTTTAGATTCTAGAGAAACAATTATTGCTGAATTGAAAGCTGATCCTGAATTTGGAAGTATTTATGCTTATTTGAAAAGACCCCGAAAATCTTTGAACACACAGATATCGCCGCGCAATAAGAAGTAGAGCAGAAAACTATGAAATAATAGATAATTTATTGTTTTATACGAAATCAACAAACGAAAATTTTGAGTATAGACCAGTCATCCCAGCCTCGCTTCGATTGAGCATTTTGAAGGAATTACACACGACGCGCCAAACATCGGGTCATTTAGGGGTCAGAAAGACTATAAAAAGGGTACGCGAGGCGGTATATTTCCCGCAATTATACAAAATAGTAACTGCGTATGTCAGGTCCTGCAATCAATGTCAGTTAATAAATGATATTAATTACAGCCCGGCCGGGTACTTAAATAGCATTCGCGCTACATTTCCGAATGAAATTTTAGGCATAGATCTTCTTGGTCCTTTTCCCCAGAGTGAGTTAAATAAAAATCGTTTTCTTTTAGTAATTGTAGATCATTTTTCAAAGTGGACAGAAATTGTTGCCACTTAAACGCGCGTCAGCCAAAACAGTCGCAGATGCATTCTTACACAGGTACATTTTAAAATACGGTGCACCGATAAAAGTCATTAGCGATAACGGTAAACAATTCGTTAGCCAAATTTTTGAAAACATTTGCACTGGACTTGGCATACGCCATATCAAAATGGTTCCGTATAGACCACAGGCAAACATCGCAGAAAGAGTTAATAAAAATATTGTAAAAATAATTCGAAGTTATGTTAGCACACATCACAAGCGCTGGGATGGCTACATAAATGAGTTAGCTTATGCTTTAAGAACAGCAAATCATGATACTACTGGAAAAACTCCAGCAGAATTATTTTTAGGACGTAAGTTAATTACGCCACTAGATAAATTATTCTTTGTGCAACAAAGGGAAGAAGAATTTAAACAAAAAGATATACAGAAACTTATTGATCAGGCGGTTAAAAGTTCGGATACGGCAAGAAATAGACAGAAACTTTACTATGATCGAAAACGCCGTGAAGCAGATTTTAAAGTAGGGGATAAAGTGTTAAAGCGGAAATTTTCTTTATCAAGTGCCCCAGATAATTTCACTGCAAAATTGGCTCCAAAGTTTGAAGGCCCCTATGTAATACAGGAAATCAAGGGAGTCGTATTGTACCTTAAGAACGAGAGAGGGAAATCTGTAAAGCAAGTCCCGACCAGGTGAAAAAATATTATAATCAAAATGATTTTGAAATCCTTAAAAGTTTCTTGCAGGACTCAAGCGCAAAAGAAGTGGAAATTCCAGAATTAACGCCACCCGCTCCACCACCCAAGAAGCAGAGAACAGAAGAGGAACCTAGCCCTTCTACAAGTCATTCTAGGGTCCCGAAAAGAAGGAAGGAAAATGGTCAGACTCCAGCATTCAAGAAATGCAGGAAATCAACGCCGCCTCGTAAAGAATCTTTGGTAAACAGGAAAAGACCAGGTACAACTTCCCAGTAGAAAATCTGCGTCGAAGAAACCACTTCCAGAGCCAGATAGACCGGAGGCCGCCATGACCAGCCGTTCAGGGGCCAAACGGAAAAGACAGGAACCCGAAACCCCAAGAGGCCGGCGTACAGAGGTCGAAAAAGGAAAGTCACCATGGAGGAAACTCGAAGAAACCAAAAGAGGAGATTAACTTCCATGAATTCTGTAACTTGTTGGATCAATTCTGCCAGAAGAGAATGTCGGAGTTCCAAGCATCGAAAAGTCAAAGATAAGTTAAAATCGTCTATAAATTTTTCTTTTGTTCTGAAATGTTATGTGTAAATACAAAGTTCTATGTGTTGACGGAAGTCAATTTGTCTCGGTTGAGACTTAGTTTTGTTTTACTGTATTTAGCTAAGGCAAAAGCAAAAAGCATTATTTTCTTTAAGTGTAAAATCTAAGAGCAAGCAGTTCGTGTTGGTCGAAAGACTAGGTTCTGTTATGTTAAAGCCAAAATTTGGCGAAAGTAAAATTACTTCGTATTCTTGTATTAATGTAAAATTTAGTTTCAGTGCCGCCAGCTTGGCGAAGAAAGCGTGAAGTAATTTTTATTTTCTCTTATCCATCTTATGGTATATTGTAAAAATCATATGTATTAGAATTTGTAAATATAGGTAAATACTTGAAAGTTACGTAAAAGTAGAATTTAGTCTAGAAGCATAAAATTTTAGATGCTAAAAGTAAATGCTCACACCTACACTTGAATTCAAGAATGTTAAACATAGCTCATCGAGTTTCAGTATGTTGGATTAAGGTGTGTCATATTTGGTCGTTTGAATTCTAACAAATCATTGTGGTTAGGGAAAGTGTTGTAATACAAAAACACGAAGATTCCCGTTTGACACCACACATTGTGGAGAACCAGGGTAAAGTTAAATTCATGTTTGAATATTTGAATGAATGTGAATGTAAGCATTAATTAAGGAAAAGAAAAGGATTGAAAACGGAAACATTATCAAGTGTTGAGAAGTGTAAATCATAATGTATTTGGAATATACTGATACTTATTCCTTTCCAGATGCTGGAAGGAAGGAAAAAGATTGATTGATGAAGACCAAACAGCAGAAAGGATCCTGTAAGAAGACATTGTATCCTAACCATCTACAGAAACGATTGGAAATGTTTTAGGCAAAAATTTGTTTTATGTAAACGGGGCTCTTGAGTCTTAGGTTAGAATTATGGAAACTTTAAACAGGTCGTTTCTAGGACCTGCTTCCAAGTTTACCAAATTCTGGCAGCGGCAAATGTAGGTTTAACTAACATTTATTTTAAGTTTAAGCTATCCTTTACTGTCAAGCCTCTACTTTCCCCTTCAATTGCCAATGCTAGAGTATGTAAATTGTAGTAGAACGCGCAGTATATTCAAATTTTAGCAGAAGTAAGTTGAGTTTAAATAGAAGGGAAACGAGATTGTATGTGTGCTTCCTGAATCGCGAACGTGAAGGTTGCTGGGCAGAAATTTAAGAACCGCGCGTTTCGGCCTATGTGCCTATCTCGGCAGTTCGCTGAATCTTTCAACTGCTTAATCAGTAAGCTCGCTGAATGTCAGCTGTATATCAGAACGCGGTTATGTTAGTTACGATTCAGAGCCTCGTAGGTAGTGATCTAGTTGTTTATTCATCCTGTCATTAATTTTTAGTTTCACATTTCTGTTTTTGTTAAACCGCCGGGTAGGCGTAGTTTGTGAGCGTCAAGTGAACGCAGCTGTTATTTCTAAAGTGGAATAAAAAGGGCTTTAAACCCTTCTTCCGTGTTTGTGTAAGTTTACAGTTCATAGCAGTCATTACCACAGTTGCTGACAAGTTAGGGCCACACCATACTACAAGGTGATACTTGCCACTGCTGATACAAATGAGATAAGCAAGCAAGAAAAGTCCACCTCCTCCATAATAGTTAGAACGTTAAAGAGTCAGTAAGCTACTGTCCTACATTACAAAATTTGTCTGAATGTAATATTTATGTTATCAGTAAACATTCAGTTCAAAAGCAAGACATTGATTTTTACGGCGTCCCACTTCTCGCATAAACGTATCATTATTGGACTTCAGGGATTTGTTACGTCAGTGACTGTGTCGGGATTTTTAAATACGCATAACTGTCTTGTCTAACTGATCAGCTTTACCGCTAAACGCATCAGTTCCTGCACAAAGGACGCATAATTGGAAGCATACTCGACGCCTATTCCAGAGGTCCAGGGTTCGAGTCCTGGCGAAAGCACTGCCCATTTTTCACATCTTCTGTTCAAAATAGTCTAATGACGCTATACAACTTTTAAAACTGAAAGTTAAGTCCATATATTCGTGCAGTGGATTTGAACGTGATGAATGCTTTTTAATCTCTAAAATTAATTTTCCTGGAATGTCGTCGACATGTGGTAGCTATAGGAGACAAATTCTTAAGCTTACTAATTTCTTAACTCGGGAGTAAATTGCAAGACACAATATTGCATAATATAATAACACGTATTTTATATATTTATTTTACATGCATTGAGTACTACCAAGAAAAGAATTCTTTTTCTTTTTTACACGATTATAGTAGGTGCGTCGTATGCCTCTCCTTGAAACCTGCACTCACGTTCTTAAAATTCATGCTCACAACATTACTTGCTAAACAAATGTTCATAATATACAGGAGAGCATCAAAACAAGAACATGTATATGGAAATAAATATTAACTTCTTATAGTGCCATCCCACAGTATCATTAGGCGCCAACTATGCACGCACCGGTCGCCCGTCCCACGCAACCGTTATTTAGTCTCCCGAGTCATAGATATGCAGACTATGTGACGACTCACTCAAACATAGTAGCAACTAAATATGATTTTATTGATGTTAACATGTAAAACCAAAACGTTCGAAAACTGTTTTGAGGTTTACTATGCAATGCTATTTTTTGCTGATGGATTATTTAAATCGCCTATTTTATTTTAACCTTTCATGTCCATATGTTGGTTAATATTTTTGTACTGTTTTACATTTCAATTATGTCCCCCCCCCAAAAGCAAATGACTTAACTCACCTTCCCTTCTGGATCATAAGATCATTTCAAGGCTTGTTGAGAAAACCAATACTGAAATATATCTTTACTACACTTGTTCTTCACAACCAGCAAATTCAAGGTTCTATTCAACCTTCATCATACAATGGCTTAAAATGAAAGTCGAATATTTACATTTTTATATTTTATACAGCAATTTTCAAGCTAATAAATAAATTACATAATATATAAAATTGTCTTCACAAAGCAGGAAAAAATTCACCACAACTTTTTAAGTTAGAAAAAGTGAAAACTAATCTCAAAATATACACTGAATACTTATAATTTTTCTGCTTTTTCTTCTTTAAAATGCAAAAATTTCGAATTTTTTCCTAGTTTCTGATGTCAGTAGTACTACGATATTATTTCAATATGTTCATTTCTTGCTAATCGTTCTGATGATTAAGAATGGAGATGCAATCTAAATCTAGTCTTTGGAAATTCTGAACTTATGATAGAACATTTTAAGATGGATTTTCATTAACAGATACTGCAAAAATAGTAAAACTATAAGGTATTTCTCCCGCATTCTTGACATGTCTTCGTGGTGTAGTGGTCTGCACGCTGGGCGCGTATTCCAGACGCCCGCGGTTTGTTTCTCGGCGAAGGCGTCACTAATTTTTCGTCTTGTCTGCTTTCAAAAATACATAATGTCTCGCCCGAACTAAAAGGGTGGTGGATGATGAATCTCCACATCCAGGATTTGGCGATTGGGTTCCCTAAAATCCCAGTCGCCCTTTAAAAGGGGGGAGTATATAAGGTATTTCTCCCGCCTTCTTGGCATGCCTTCGTGGTGTGGTGGTCTGCACGCTGGGCGCGTATCCAGAGGTCCGCGGTTCGATTTCTCGCGAAGGTGTTGCTAATTTTTCATTTTTCCTGCAACCCAAAATATCCTAATGTCTCTACAAAACGAAGTTATTCATGACATAATCAAGTTATTTAAAGGGGGAATAATAAATAAATAAAAAATAAACAAGCAATAGGCAAACAAGATTTTTACAGATTCTGAAAAGCGTTCATTGTGGAAGAGGGGAAGAAAAAGCAATGCACATCGCATTTAAAAGAGAAAGCTTATCCGATCTCACGCTGAGCTCGCAGGAATAATAACAGCAGCTAACTAAACTCTCTCCGGCTGCCCGCTAACACAATAGTCAATTACATTTATTCAAATCCAATACAAATTAAAGACACATCTATTTATTAAAATGGTAAGTGGACCACTTTACGGGCATAGCATTTACTTTTCGGGCATAGCTTTCTCTCAAATATGTCTCGCGCTGCGCTGTATGGAAAAATACAACTTTACTTATAATTCTACTAAAAATAGCTAACTAAATACAAAATTCGTAACAATACCCTTAGCTTTAGATGCTGAATGCCATAAATTTTTTACTGCAATAATATATAATTAATACGAGTTAATAGCATGCAATTAATAAAGTTCTGCATTTGCATTTAACACTAAAACAGAACAATAGCATTCATAATCCCTCACCATTACCTTCATTCCTAGTTTCTTTACTTGTATTTAACTTAACAATAAAATTCAACAATATAACAAACAGCATTCATCGCCCCTCACCATTACCTTGATTCCTAGTTTGAAGGTTCAAAAGCTAATGAAAATCTTCTGACAAAGAAATTATCTTCAGGCAAGGAGAACAGCCAGATGTGCTATCGGTAATTTTTAGAAACACAAGATAAAGTTTAGATTTTTCTCCGCTAGATGCATTTCAGAAAGCAAGAAAGAGTCCCTTCAAAATTTGAACTAAACTGATTTAGAGCATACTAAATATATATCTGAGAAAAACATGCGTTGAAACCCCATGGTTAAAAGCACGAATAACGAGGTTATATAACTGATTTAATTGATTAGTTTTGATATGCCGGCAACTGATTAAAAAAATTAAGAGACCTTCATAACTAAAGGAATTCTAAATGCATATTCTTATCTACTAAATCATGTTCGTTATCTACTAATTTGACGAATAATCTTCCAACTTCACAAATTTTGCGCGCAAAAGGTATGGCATTTTGAAATTAATTAATCAAATTATTAATTTTACTCGATGATAACGAGCGAATTAATAAATTATATTTTATTACTTTCCATTAACAGCACAAAAGGTTTTTTTCCCTCCCCTCCAAAAAAATGGTAATTTAAGAAATTTTGTAATTGGTTCTAGGATCAATATTTAAAGAAATAAACCTGCAAGAGACCTTTATCGATTTGTCTTTGTAATCGTATATAAATTTTATTAAATTTTTCTTTTTCTAATTTTTTTCTCAACTCTGGGATGGAATTGGTAATCAATCTGCGTTCAGTGTTGAAATTTTCCTCCTAGAAAAATTCGTGGTAAATCATTTTAAAAAGCTTGATTATACTTATGCTACATAGCAGAAAGCCATACATCCAGTTAAATGTTTCTTAATCAAACACTAAATCTAGAAAGCAATTTTCAGCAATTTATTTAACCATAGGCTTTTAATGGTTTACGCAATATACAAATTGAAGAATGTATGAAATAGTTTAATTTTAAGCTGTGTATTTCAGTTTTATTACAGGTTTCCTCAAGTTTATTGCATTATCTTGCGTTCAGGCGACTAAGAAAATAATGTCTGATAAATTTTGTCTCTCAGATTTACCCATTACATTAGAGAGTTGCAGTATTATCTAAATTATCGAAAAATTAGAAAAGAGGGAAAGAAGAGAAGTAATCTGAAAGAGAAGATAAAAGGTGGGTGGAATATGGGAAGGTCTTCAGCATAAATATCTTCCATAAAATTACGCATACAAGAAATATTGTTTAATAAATTTCGACATACGTATGTTTTAACATTAGATATACACACTTTATATTATTAGAAGGGTTCATAATTTACTTAAAACATTTGTATAATTCATATTTGTCAGCTAATAAATGGACGTATTATAAAAAGTAAATAGTAACAACTTTAGATTTGCTCACATAAAATTCAAAATAATAATTTACTTAAAACATTTGTATAATTCATATTTGTCAGCTAATAAATGGACGTATTATAAAAAGTAAATAGTAACAACTTTAGATTTGCTCACATAAAATTCAAAATAATAATTTTATATAAAATCGTCACCAACTTAGTATCTATTGTTACAAATCTATGCATCTAAATTAAACTAAATTTCTTCTGAAGTTGTTATTCAACACAATCATCCCAAGTTTATTGAAAAATAATTAAGGAAGGTGGTTTAGAGCACTAAATTAGGAAGGTGATTTAGGCTAATTTATACAAACTACGATTGGAATAGATTCTCAGCCGTACACATAGGTATTAATAATGTGATAGTATATTGTGAGTGCTCAATGAGAAACATCTGAAGCTTTCGAATTTCAACTCTTCGGAATTTTCTCTCATTTCAATTTTCTTCATTATTAGTAACGACACAAAAATCTTTAAACAAACAATTTGGGTTGATATTATACAAGAGCATTCATTTTCAAAGCGTAGCTTGCACCTGACAAATTTGTTCAATTTAGTTTTTTGGTTCTGTTTCAATATACTTGAAAGTAAATTTTTCAAATATCTCGTCATTCTGCTTGAAAAAAATTTGAAGAAACATACTTCACTGGCTCGATAATCTACGATAAGCCCTGATTTTTGCTTTTGGCAACTATTTTCCAGTGTTTGACCTTTACCTACCCATAAATGAATATATTTGCATGGAAATGTCATGTGCGGAAGTGCAACTAAACCAGACATGCCCCATCAATCTCTAGACTTTAATGCAACTGAAAATTTATGGGCACGTTTAACAAGAAAAATTTTTAAAAATCATGCCATACTCGAAAGGTTTAAAAAAGACATTTAAAGATGAACGACTGTAAAATAATTTCAATTATTGTGAAAAATTAGTCCGTTTATCGATAAACAGATTTTAAAAGCTGTTTAGCAAGTAGAGGCTTAGCAACCAAATACTAAATTTCATTTATATAACACAAACTAATTACAATTATCTTCGAGTTTAATCTTGAAGTAATTTTCATTGTTTGTTGAAATTTTATTTTTTAAAAATGAAAAAAAAAATTTCCTTTATTGTAAAAGAGCAGATTTTCGAGTTTTACTTCGATTCACTTCGATTGTATTTCATACCATAAAATTTAAGGGCATGACTAACTAAGAAACTATTTTGAAACTGGCTTATTAATTGCTGAAAGTATTACTGTAACTGCAAAATTCCTTTTAAGATAATCTGAAATTAATGTAGCCTGTCACTTTGAAATAATCTCTTGTTACTTACTAGAACTTATTTTTCAAGTACAGACAGCTTCAGCAAAACATAAACGAGGCTAATGAATTATGCTAACTAGCGCCTTGTGTGCAATGAATTTGGCCAACCCTGAATACAGAAAGCATAGCAATTCCTTTCAAAACTCCCATCCGTTTAAACGTTATTTCGGTTTTCTGTTACATACCCTAAAAGCTCCTTTCTTACTAAAATTATCTTAGGCAACTGGAATAGATTCTCAGCCGTACACATAGGTATTAATAATGTGATAGTATATTGTGAGTGCTCAATGAGAAACATCTGAAGCTTTCGAATTTCAACTCTTCGGAATTTTCTCTCATTTCAATTTTCTTCATTATTTGTAACGACACAAGAAAATCTTTAAATGAAGCGTAGCTTGCACCTGACAAATTTGTTCAATTTAGTTTTTTGGTTCTGTTTCAATATACTTGAAAGTAAATTTTTCAAATATCTCGTCATTATGCTTGAAAAAAATTTGAAGAAACATACTCTTAATACATATATTTCTCAGATGACATTTCAAAATATTCCTCAAATCAACTTTGATCCTATTGAACAAATTGAACTTTTTTATCGGGACAAGATTCAGAAATGTATGCATGCCCGTGTATGTATGTATGTACGTATACACACATACCGGGACCGGATTCAGAAATGTATGCATGCACGTGTATGTGTGTATGTATGTATGTATGTATGTATGTACGTATGTATGTGCGTATACACACATACCGGGACCGGATTCAGAAATGTATGCATGCACGTGTATGTATGTATGTATGTATGTATGTATGTATACGTATGTATGTATGTGCGTATACACACATACAGGGATGATCTTGGAAAGGGGATAAGATGGAGCAGAGCAAAAGAGCGATGAAATGATTTTCACATGTATTATACTTTTGTAAATGGGCGGTCAATTATAATCTGCACGCGAGCGGCCCGACGGTCTAGAATCGGCATTACACAGTTACACAAGTACATACTGGTGTACGTAAAAGTATACATGAACATACGTACTACATATATGAACACATACATACATCACATACATTTCTGAATTCGGTAACAGAAAAGTGCAGAGGGAAAAATGTTTCATTAATAATTAGGGGTGACTTTTCTTCCATACTGTGCATTCTTTCTCCTTTAGTATTTTTTTTTTTTTGATTGCCCTAACCATGTAGAGTCATTTGGTATCTTTGAAACAGAAAAAGAGACTAATGTGCAATGCCTTCGCCAGGACTCGAACCTGGACAGCTGGAAATACGCGCCGAGTGTGCTAACCGTTACACCCCAAAGGCGTGCAGAAAACAGAGAGAAAATACCTTACATACTGCTCCTTCTAAAGAGCACCTGGGGATTAGGGGCCTCATCGCCCAATCCTGGTGGTGAAAAATCATCATCCATATTCCTTTACGTTCGGGCGCCACTGTACAAATATAAGATCTTTTTTGTATGCTGGAGAAGTAAAAAATGAGCAGTGTCCTTGCCGGGGCTCACACCTCGACCTCTCGAATACGCGCCAGGGGTGCTAACCGTTACACCACGAAGGCATGCGAGGAGGCGGGAGAACTACCTTATTGCGCAAATTTTTATTATTATACTTGAAAATAATAGATTTTTTTTTTCAATCAGCAGAAACTAAATTTTGACATCTTTGTAGTGTTCTGATCCAGTCTGGCGAGTCCTCTGATTCGCATTTTTGAAAGAAATTATATCGTATCGGTTAGAAATTTTCGATGTCAGGAAACTGAAGAAAATTCCGAACCTTCCAAACTGTCGTGCGTTTGTCCAGTAACACCATGAACGCATGACGGACGACAGGTTATTAAGATACTCTTATCTCCAAATCCGGGTAGTAACGATTTATCGTCCACCACCTTTTAATACGAGCGCCACCAGTAGAGTCTTTCAGAATTTTTCGAAGACAGGAAACTGAAGATATCCGCAATGTTTCGCCGGAATTTGAACTCCGGTCCTCCAAACACGCGTCGAGGGTTCTTCCAGTTACACCATGACGGCATGCGGAAAAGAGAATATAAAATAAATGTAAAAACAAAACTACAGTCAATTCCTCATTAACCGCAGGCAGATCAACCGGGACTGCCGAACGATGGAACTATGATTCAGCGTAGAACTACGTAGAACTAACTATCCATGGAAATACAAATAAGGAAAAGAAATATACGTGGAATAACAACAGTGACGTCCATACGATGACTGACGTAGTATTTGTCAGATGATTTGTCTACAACAACATGTATTTTAGCTGCAGTGAAATTTATAGACTTTGGACATTAAATGTTCTATAACCGACTCTTTTGTTTGATTTCTCTGACTTTATTCAAGTCATAATAACTTGAGAAATAAACTAGTAAAACAACAAATCTGAAAAATGTATTTTACTTTTTTCATAACAAAATACACGCAACTTCATTTAACAAAATTTTTCAGAATGACCTTCGTGCGCATTCTACATCAATATGCAAGTCAAAGTCAGTCAAATGCACCTAAATTAATCCAGTAGCTTCTGAAAGAAGACGAGCGGTACTTACCACGCCGTTTAGTTTCTTAAAAAGACCTTTCCGTATTACTTAAATCAGATGCAACGTCGAAACTGCGTATATAAATAAATCACACATTCAGTCAAGAGTCGAATTAAGCAGGGGGGGGGAAATCAGAAAGTTTTCAGATTTTATATTACGCTCAAAGGGACTTAGTCCAAAGGGACAATTTGCCCAGAAGGACTATTATTTTCGTTTTGGTATTTTGCGTTGGTTCACTATAAATGTTGATTCACTTTTTAAATTGTTGCTATCAAATATTAGAGTCAATATCAAGTATATTATATTTAAAGAAATTAAACAATGAAGAATCTGCATAAATGTAGGTATGTTTTCTCGCACTGTGATAAAACAACGGTACACAGCGCCATCAAATTTTGAATAAAGTAGTTCTCCACCTGATTATGGGCATCTGGAAGACCAAATTTGGAATTTGTTTTATTATCTATTTCGCATTTTGTAAAACTTTAACGAATTTCTGATTAACATTATCTATTTCACATTTCGTTAACGAATTTCTGATTAACAAACTCGACGATTTCAAAGCGACAATGGCAACACTGTACGGGAGAAAAACAAAATTATCTCCAGCTCGCAAGACTGTGTATCGGAAATTCTAAAGATGATGCTCATTTTAAAATTATTTTGCGATATTGCTGTTGAACAGAATTTTATGGTTAAATGCGAAGAACATGATATTTAATAAATAGAGGTCACACACGAAACGTTAAAAAAAGCCCGATTATGTAAAATCTGAAAGCCTTCAGATTTTTTTTTTTTTTCCACATTTCTTTCCGTTTCCCTCTTTTCCGGGTGACTTTTTTTTCCTACAACCCATTTACACACATACACGTTTCGAAAGCATTTGGGCTAAACACATTTAAAAATAGCTTATCTTTAGAATATCTGATAGAGAGACTCGTGAGCTAGATATATATTCCCCCCCCCCCAAAAAAAGTGCTGCCATTGCTCGCTTTGAAATCATTGAGTTTGTTAATGAAAAATTCGTTACAGTTTTACAACATATGAAAGAGAGAATAAAATAAATTCCAAATTCCGACTTGTCCATACTCGGTGGAGGAGTACGTTATTCAAAATTTGATGGCTGTACATACCGTCGTTTTTTTCACAAAGCAAGAAACATACACATACATTCACGTATATTCTTCATCGTTTAATTTCTTTAATATAATACAGGGCGATAATATTTAGTGGCAACAACTTAAAAAGTGATTCCATTTTGAGACTAATAATAGCCCGGGCTAACGCCCCTTCGGGCTTTATTGAAATAACTTCATAACACTTAAAACTAATATGAGAAGATATATGATGAATAAAAATACTAGCGGTTTTTTCGTATACTTCAAGCAAAAATATTTAAAACCATTTTTCACAATGTTTAGATAAGGTAAAAATTTTCACCCTGTCTCTCTGTCACCACCACACTGTGACTCTTCCTCATTTAAAATGGGTATTTAAAAATTTTAGAAGCATTAAAAAATTAAAACACTGCTCACAAACAGCAGATACATGTTAAAAAAATCCCCATTAGGAGGATTCCAGTATTTTTGAAACACACTGTCGCAACAATTAAGTTTCCATAACGATAAAAGAATATCAAGTAAATATCTTTCATATTAGTTTGTGTGGGTAGCGGCTCTACAACCACCACCCGCACTTCCAAACGATTGAAGTCTTTCAAATAAAACTAAACTGTGAATGAATAGCATAAAAATTAACAAATGAATAAAATGAATCCTTTAAATGAATAGCATAACAATTAAAATTACTGTTTTTTTTTTTTTTTTTTTTTTTTTTAATTCCACCTTTTCTTCTTTCGCACTCCTTATTTGATAAGGTGATGCACCAAATTGTGAAATACAAAATATTTTCATTAATATTTGAGAATGTACATTTAGAATAAAATTTAAAGCAGGTATTAAATTATGCCATTATTTGAATTAATTACGTGATTACTTGGATTAAATTATGAGCAGCAATTACATTCAGACGTATCCCGGCTCCAATGCTTTATATACACGTGAAATGTGATTTTTATGTGAAATTTTCGTGTGTCCGAGCAATTACAGGTAGTGCATTAAACACGATGAGCTCTCGTACTTCACTTTATTTATCATTAATATTTATTTTTTAACTCATCTCTTTACATTTTACTTCCTTTTAATTAATTATTATTTACATTACTAATTATTTCTTATTTGCCTTTCCTTGCAGCCTTCCATAGGGCTCTGACACTAGGTTTAGATGTTAATAATCCCTGGTTTAAAAAGAACTTATAAAGAGAAGATCGTAATTTACATATTAATACATCCTTACCATCATTAGGTTTTATTTTTGTTACAGCTTTGCCATCGGTATAGCTTTGCCATCGGTATATTACAAGCCATCGATTATACAAACATTTTTGATACAGCTTTGCCATCGGTATATTACAAACTATTAGAAAAACACTTTATTAAGCTAATAATAAAAACAACAGTTGTGTAGTAGTGTGATATTATTAAAATATACTATCGAAGTACACACTGATTTGCTTTCATATGCCGAAACAGAAGCAACATCGCGATCACCACAAAATGAAATGATACAGCAGACAAAAAACCATTAATTGAAAACAGTCACACTCATTAAGTTGCTAATTAAATTAGATAAACAAAAAATAATAAGAAATCACTTACTTGAAACTACGTTGACAAAATATGGCTTCCAGAAACGATTAATAATTAATGTCTCGACAGACAGGCCGCCCGACATTTCTACGACTGATGAAAATCCCAATTAAAGATTTGATCTTTTCTAAGCTGATCTGATCCAAGTGATTATCGGCTGGCCTAACAATTTGACGAAAGTAGAATAAGATTATAAAAGTTAGCCAATCATATGCCCAATGCTCGTGTTTTTTTATTTTTTGCTTTGACATCTCTTTCTGTAAGGAACCCTCCCTTCAAAGGGGAGGAATCGAATAACTTGTAAAGGGATGAGAGAGGGTGAGGGCCAAGTGAATCGCTCTTGCTCCCCCCTCCATTTCTTTCCCTTCCTCTTCTACGCGCTGGCATTGAAAGTAAACAGTATTCGTTAAAAGTAATGGGAAAGTCCATCCTATTGATTGCACTCATTTTATAGATTTATGGCAGTAACATAAACATTTCAATTAGCTGGCCACATGACTTTTTTTTAATGTCTTTGAGATGGTTTTAATGCTCTTGGTGATTCAACACTTGCTTAATATTAACCTCATGCTGGGTTAGTTATATTCAGTCACCAACACATCGAACAAATTTTTAGATGCGTGAATTTTTCTAATAGCAAATGGCACGTTTTGTGGAATTGAGAACTGTCGATAACTGAGAACGGATTAACGGGGTTGTGGGTTCATCAGATCGTCTAAAAAAACGTTTATTGCGGGACTTTGTGACAACAGGCTCATAAACATTGTACAATAAAAAAATAAAAAATTCTAACCGACTTTTTTGCACGAGATTGAATACAATAACATTCATTTTTTTCTTCATTTGAATAATATAGTTCCTTCATTTCTAATTATGTTCATTTTTCTGTTATTTAAAGCGCGTTATTTTTTATTTTGATATATTGATTTAATTTAGGTAACCAAATGCACTTATTCTCCAAATTAAACTGCTTCTTGAAAATACAAGTACATTGTTAACAGTATTTTTCTATTAATTGTAAAATGGGTTATTCTTCTTTTGCTTTTTTAGCCTAAAGAGGCTATTAGTCTGAAAGCACGATTTTGGTTGATTCATTTTAAATGTCATACACTGTAAATACGTAGTTTTAAGAATCTTTTCAACTTTTTAATATGATTAATTTAAATAAAAACGCATTTAATTCATGACACATCTAATTAAAAGCATTAAATATTTTTACAGATTTACGTTATGCATTTTTTCACTTTCCAAATGTACAGAAGATACATAATATACCAGGGATTCCCAAACATTTTCTTGCATGGAACACTTTTAAAGGAGCATTTTCGTCATATAATTTAAAGGTAACAATTGCGTATAAACAATTTTGAAAAATGGCTTTTTTGTATTACTATTATTTTTAATTTTACAAATACTGAAGAGTCATTAGGTTATTTCGCGGCAGAAGACAGGAAAAATCAGCTACGCCCTCGCCAGGACTCGAACCTCTCGAATGCGCCAAAGTGTGCTGACCATTACACAACGAAAGCAGGCAAGAAAGCGGGAGAAATACCTCATAATACAAACAAATTTTCAGAAAATCACAGATTCTAACTGCACAAAAGTTCGATTTGACTTAACCAAGTGATACTTGGTTGCAGTTGGTGTATTGATGCAGTTTTTCTTTAAATTAGATTTAAATTGCTGAGTTTTTAAATTGCCTCGTTCCAAATATATACATATGTATATATAATTAAAGAAAAGAGAACAAACTATAAAAGACCTATGTGGTCAAAAACTTTGGGCATTGAACGTTCGCTAGCATACAGCTGGCAGTCTGCGTTGCAGATAACTGGAAACGGCCGACATATTGTATTACTTACTAGATGTCACTTTTGAAAAATCATAAAATCTTCATAATCCGATCATTTTTTTTTTACTTGCTGCTCATAAGATGTGTTATTCAAACACATCTTATGAGCAGCAAAGAGAGTGAGTTGATACGTTTGACACTGTGTTTATCCTGGGGTTCTACTATCTAAGTATACTTCCCAAAAACCTCAAATAAATCCACAAACGGGCTTTGCGACAAGAATTCCTTGAGTAAAGTTCTAAACAAGAGAGCGCGTATTAGTTGGAGTATTTATAACTTGAGAGCGCTTTGTTTTAATCCTGCACAGTGACTGGGCAAGATTTCTGCAGCAATGCGGTTACTGCAAGGAAATTTCAGATGCCTCGAAGGGGTTGCCTTGAGGGGTTGAAAGCTATGAATTAAAAGGTCTATTGTCAATTTGTACCAATTAAGTTTAATTAAATTTCGATCACATTTTATATTATATATATATATATATATATCAAGATTGAAGTAAAAATATTAATTAATAGTAACAAATTGCCTAATACTTGCGCAAAAGCTGCAAAGTAATAAAATAATAATTTATTTATTAATGGATGATTGAGTATATTATCTCCTTTGAGAAAGGTAGTAGAATTTTAGTTGAATGAAGTTACTCATAAGCATTTAAAAATGAATCTTCAAAAAAATTTTTAAATGAAACATCAAATATGAATTATTAAAAATTGAAAATGGAAACTTTTAAAAACTATTAAATATCAATCATGAAAAAATTTTGAAAGTGGAAACTTTTAAAAAATGAAACAGTAATCAACAAACCAAGTAATTATCGTCATTGATCGAAAATTGGTTGACTTTTCAAGGGAAACAAAACAATCCCTGATCAATTAATAATCATTAATACATCGAAGGTGTTCGTTTTGTAGTCAAGTAAGAATTATGATGCTAAACTGGTATTATGTAAGTTGAGTATAAACCAAGTAGGTAGATTTTAAGCGAGATGAATTTAAATTGATGTACTATATAGAATTACTGATGAAAGTGGCACTTCTGTTGTGTTTAATTTTTTTAAAAATGAGTAGTAGTATTATTTTCTTGAGTAAAGTGTCCCCCGACACTCTCACTTTTAATAATGTTAATTCAAAGTAATGTTTATAAACATATTAAACAGAATGCAATCTTTGCAAAAAATTATTAAAAAAATTCTAAATACACAAGTTGAAAAAAAATTTAATGAAGAGAAGAGGGTATAATAAAATGTACATAATATGCATAAATGGCCAGAAGATGAACTAATTAACTTACATGCTTATGAGTATTAAAATAACGGACACGTCTCAATCAATACACATTACCGAGCTATCCATTTATTAAATGCATGTGCCCCTGTATTCTTACTTTTCCAGCATATTTTTCTCTTAAAATTTGTTTCGCGCTGCATTGCACACGAAAATACAGCAATTATTAAATTCCTACTAAACAATTTCTACTAAAATTAGCTATCTAAATACTAAATTCGTAACACAGCTCCTCTCCCAAGGACTGCACATGCCGGGGAGTACAATGCCTAGACAGGAAGCCATACTTACAATTAAGGCATCAATGCAATAATAAACATTACCGTATTTAAAAAACAACATAAACAATAATTGTAATAAATAAAATAAAACAAATCAAATACTAAATCAATAAATGATTGCACAAATTTACAAATTTAGAAATAAAAAATAGCACCATGGTCTTATACTATTTATATTATATACACTACGAAATATGGCCACAGTAAGGAGCTAACCTGTCGTGATGAACGACATTAAGTTTAGAATTCAATGATTTACGGATCCGAACTACGACGTCGTTTAGCCTTAGGATTGTGTAAGGACCATTGCAAGATGACTGTAGTTTAAGACAGAGTCCTTTCCGTCCAATCGGATTTCACAACTACACCTTATCTATTTCGTTGAATCGATGTCCTGTAGCTCTTCTGTCGTATCAGGTCTTCATCTCCTCTGTCGCGAGGCTGACTCGCTCTTGTGTAAAATTGTGCCTCCCTTCAAACCGGGCCTGGAGATCTTGGATGTACTCCTCAGGCGACGAAGGCGCATCCGGAGAACGACCAAACAAGAGATCACAAGGCAGACGGAGATCACGACCGATGAGCATTTGAGATGAGAAATAGCCAGTAGTCTCGTGGACAGCACTGCGATAAGCCAGTAAAAACAGAGATAACTTGTTTAGGCCCAGTCCTGTTGGTTTCTGGAAACCACCAACGACAGGTTATTAAGGATGGTTCGATTAAACCTCTTCACCATACCGTCTAACTGGGTTATATAAAGGTGTCGTATGTGTTTTGTCAATGCCGAGTAGCTTGCAGAGTTCTTTTATTACAACCGATGCAAAATTTCGTCCTTGATCGAAATGTAACTGAAGAGGCACTTCGAACCTGAAAATCCAATGCTGTATTACTACCTCTTGCTGTATCATTACCGTGACAGCTTCTTGATCAGGAATAGGACACTCTTCAGGCCACTTGGTGAAGCAATCAGTGACAACGAGAATGTACTTGTTGCCACCAGCAGGTCGTGGCAGAGCTCCCAGAATGTCAAAGGCGATGCGTTCAAAAGGCGCTCCTACCATGTAACATTGCATCTTACAGAGGCTGACTTTTTTGGGTCCTTTCCGACCCACACAGGCATCGCAAGATTGACACCACTTTTGCACGTCATCTTTTGCATTACTCCGGTAGAAGCGTTCTCGAACTCTTTGTAAAGTTTTCGTTACTCCGTAGTAATCTCCTATAGGGCTGCTATAGTTCCTTCCGGGATCGGGTATCTTGGAAGTATCAGCTGTAGATCAAAATGTCCTGCCAAGTAGGTTTTCTGTTTGAAGACTCCATTAAATCAATTATGGGTTTAATGTCGCCATCTTCCAGCTGGTCTTTCCTGATTTCATTTATTGATATCCATTTATTAAATGCACGTGCGTCTGTATTCTTACTTTTCCGGCATAGCTCTCCCTTAAAATTTGTCTCGCGCTGCATTGCACGGGGAAATACAACAATTTTAATTATAATTCTACTAAATTTAGCTAGCTAAATACAAAATTTATAACCATATGTTTTGGTTTTTTTTATTGCAGCGGTTCTCAACCTTTTGACTAACGTGTACCATCTAACCCCAAACCGAAAACCTTTAGTACCATCACTACATTTTACAATGATTATTTTTCAGTTTTTGAATAGAAATATTTAAAAAAAATATATTTTGCCATTTGCACAACCTATCGGCTAGTTGTA